CCCCCCCCGGTAAAATAACATTGCTTGTATTTCATGGATTAGAAGGAAAGAATCTCCAAAGAAAACACAGAACGTTAGCCCTTCTATGCTGCATACATTATCTACCTTAAAGGAAAACACTGATCAAATTTTATCAATGAACAAAAACTGCAATATGCTGAACACTGTAGTAAATACAAGACAAATTTACAACAATAAAAATTCTTCTTCAGCTCCATGCACACTATGTGTCCATTTTGGCATTATACTGAAACTGTCCACCTGATAAATGCTTGTTCTGCTGTTGTACCTATGTTTGCTTTATTAAGTTTAAAAAATCTGGACCTGCATTCATTTGCAGACTGGTTTTATGAAACTATTTCAGTCATTAATTCAAAGTGTCTAAACATCAAAAGCAACATTATTTATGGCATTTATTTCAAATAGTATTTATTAGTAGGAAGTAAGGAAAAGTCAGTGCCACACTTGGCAGATATTTTCTCTACATCTAACCTTCCCATCCATGCATACTACTGTTCTTTCACCTAATTACTGAGATTCTCCCAAAATTATAAAAGATACACATCAAAGACCCCTAGTGTGTTTGAAGATTCTGGTTAATTCCTCATCTACTGCTCTCATAAATCTCTATTTTTGATTTTTCAAATGTCACTACTGATTTAAAAAACTTAAATATGTATTCACTAAGATATCTCAACTCCTTTGATAACTTCTTAAATATATAAATCCTACTTTCTGATCCTCAGCAGCTGACTGCTCAAATCACCAGACAATTTTCAAAGAACTGGTATTCGTAATTTATCTGTTATTTGCAATAGTTTAGCAAGACTCCTTTCCTACAGAGTCTTTGAGTTATTTTTCCAAAATACATAGCAACAAATTTTTGCTATGTGCAAGCACTTTCTCTGGTAGTTCCTTAAGCTCTTCCATATGCATGACATACAATATTGACAAATGGACTAACTACTTCCTCTCACTTTTATATCACACTTCTCTTTATTTTAAAAAATAAATTGCAGAAGTGCCAGTTGTACACACTGTTGTGTATACAATGTTGACAGTTGTACAAAAGAGAAATTTTGTTTGTTTAAAATTAGTAATGGTACAAGGGAGATCATGCAAACTTAACCGTGTATATGATCTAGGATGTATTCCCAGGCTTGCTGAAGGTATCTTTTACAATCTGTAAAAATCATCTTGACTACTCTGTCTTCATTTCCTTCTCTTGTACGCATTCCCAATGCACTCACATTATCATATGACATGCAGTGTGTAAAAGAAAAGGACAGTGCAACCATAACCACTGCTGTACTTCCTCCCAGTCGTGCAACAGGGAGGCAGTTGTATGGCTGCATAATCCTAGACGCACCCAGTTGAAATCCCTAAGGAGTCAGCCCAAGTCCAGAGCTCATATCAGCACAAAGAGACCGACTTTTCTCAGCTACTAGAGACCTCTAACAGCTGAACACAACATTAACAAGTCGTTTATGCAGAACTGCATAGCTATTCAAATACTGAAGAATGTCACTTAAATGTAAGACCTAATTTTCTAAGGTCATCGACCATAACTGATAAGTTAAATATCATTACCATGATTTTTATAGCTCAAATAGCATACTATTTAAATGTCAAATATTCATTTTACAATTTACAGAAATTATTTTTCAGTTATTATATTAAGTTGATCTAACTTAAATTAAGATCTAACTTAATCTAAGATCTCAGTTAAGATCTTAAGATCTAACACATGATGACTTCTAAGAATGCCAACATACTGCTGCTCTACTTTAAACACTTAACTTTTTTCACGTTGAAATCCATAAGCTTCTATTATATTGTAGTAGCTTATGACCAACACGTCACTGTAATTTATTCACACAATATTATTAGAAGCTCTGATTTTCTATTTCCTTACAAGTCACTTGACAACTCACTGAGTTTAAACATATGCTACAGAAATCTGTAATGTTATATAATTCATCACATTTCACAAACAAAACATCCCTCAGATTTATATGGTTGGAATACAGTGATTTACATGATTGTTAGTACACTGCTATCCATATAAGCATATGAATATGATATCTAGTAGTATCAACAACAATTTTATTTTGAACACCTGTTTCTAAAAAGTATTTTCGTGTGTCTTACCTAAATATCTGTATCCCATTGTTTCTGACCTAACCAAATATTTTCACAAAGATGGATTCATAAGAAAAAAGATTCAAGGATTGAAGCAGGGAGAACAGACTGAAAAAAAAACAGTAACTAGTTGAAAAATGAGTGGAAGCCAGGACAATATTCTAAATTAGAATAATTAAGAATTATTCTAAACACAGGAAGATCTCATAGAGTAATAATGAGGACATTTTTGGCATCTAAAACTTAGTGCTTTTCTTGAAGGAAAATTTTAGTTGTTTTTATGCCTTCAATTTATTTTCCTATTATAATATTTGAAATTTTTGGAAGATCACTTAGCAGTCCAGAAGTCCTGATCATAACAACATACCATTCAACTGTAAATTTACCACATTTTATCCTATCACTATAGGTTGAGACTTAAGAGAACATATAGACGAATTGTCAAGTATTTGAAGTTGGATGTACACAAGTATACAGAGAAAGTCATAACAGACCTTACGCAGTTCTCTAAATGTTTCAGTTCTCCTCAAACTGAGTTTCTAACTATTTAAGTAAAATGGTTACCAAGAAGAATTAAAGGGCAGCTACAAATAGGGTAGAGGTCCACCTCTTCACAAGAAGCCAAAATGTAGACAACAAGGGGCAACAGGTACAACTTGCACCGGGAGAGGTTTCACTTTAACATAAAAAAGAAATTTTTTACAGTAGGAACAATCATTGACTGAAACAATCTCCACAGGGAAGAGGAGGATTTAAAGAAGTGACTGGACAGGGTGCTGTATTCTCTCATCTAGGCTCCCTTTGCCAAAATTTTGGACTACATCATCGTTCAAGCTCCCTTTCAACCTGGATTGTTCTATGATTCTGTTTTAATACCCTCAGTGACTAGTACCTCATGGATCTCTTACCTGACTGACGTGAACCATAAAGATAAAACTTAACATAATTTAATGCCTTTTTTTGAACTTATTTAGTTGTATTTGTTATTCAACAGAAATTCAATAGGATATCTTGTTCTTTACATATATAAATCTGTTCCTGTTAGTATGACAGAGCTGAGTTACATGCCTGAATTGAAGTATTGTACTCAAAATGTTCTTTTAAGCATTCCTACAAACTACTATTACCACAGAAAAGAAGTGTATCAGAACTCTGAAAACAAATTGAGAAACCCGATCGTAGGATATCATTTAGGCTATTTGTACAGTATGTTGATAACTTGAGGTCAGTAAGTCTCTGTAAGCAGGATGCAATATCCCCAAATGACAGTATGACTATGCTCCCTTTTCCTCCTCTTTTAGTTTTTTTCATGTAATTGGAAAAATATACGTGAGCCCACAGCTTCCTTAAAACAGTTCATCCTGTAAACAAGCCTTTTACTTCTATCTTCTTTATAATAGAAGGAATGATTCAAAACAGTTTCCAGGAAAAGCAAGATTGAACATCATTTCAGAGAGATGGTAATGTCTTAAGAACAGCAGAATGTCCCTGAAGTCTTGTTCAAAGACAGAATGCAAATTAAGAGAGTCTCCTGATGAAAGCCCATAAAAATTATTTACCTCTACATGAGAAGAAACAAAGAAGGTGACAAAGTCTTTGAAAAAAACTTTTTAAGAGCCTATTTTAAGGGGGAGTTTTGGCATAGGAGAAGGCAACGGCTCCAGTAGAGAATCAAAAATATCAAGATTGTGAGAACTTCTGTTTGGCATTATTCCCAGAGCACAAAGCCACACACAAATAAATTCCTTACCATAGGCTTTATCCCAGCCAAGGAGATCCTTTCCTCTCACTAGGATCCTTCCTTCAAATTTGGTTTTAACAAAATGCAAATGACTTCTTACTTTCATAAACACTTCAAATGACATCATCAGTTTAAAACAAACTAAGACACTGGTTAAATTTATCTTTTATCTGCCACTATGATCAGAAACTTGGATCATTCCTAATGAAAGTTATTAGAAAAAACACATATACCTTTTTCTCTCTTTTCTTTTTCCTTAGTTTACCTTTTTTTTTTTTCTCCCCTTTTCAGTTGGCAGCATCTCTAGTATGACTTCCAGTACTAAAACCTACAATTTTATTTTTGTTGCTGTGAGTTAAGGTAAAATACAGGAAGGCAGAGAAGGGTCCAATATAAATAGCAGAAGGGAGAGGGAAAGGGAGAGGGAAAACACTGTTACAGATCCAAACTAATTTCAGGTGGCAGGAGCAGAAGTAGCTCTTGAATGTGATTTTGACTTAGTTTTTCATAGCACACTTTTTGCAATTATATTTCAGCAATAAGTATGCAGAGTCATTTTCCCAGAAAATTCTGTCACAAAAGCAATGAAACAATGGCTGCATCTCCCTCTCTTCATCTTAGAATGAATACACAAACCAGCAACAATTCTTTCCAAATCATGTAGTTCAAGAATAGAATGATGAACTAACGGTACACCGTCGTATTTGGTTTGGCTGGGCTAGACTTCATTTTCCTCCTAGTAGCTGACACAGTGTTGTTTGAGATTTGTGATGAAAACTGTTGATAACATGGGGACATTTTAGTTACTGTTGAACAGTGCTAGAACAATCTGAAGGTGTTTTCTGTTTCTCACACTATGCCACCAGCAAGGAAGCTGAGGGTACACACCAAGCTGGGAAGGGACACAGCTGGGACAGCTGACCCCAACTGACCAAAGGCACACCCCAAACCATATAACATCCTGCCCAGCAATAAATTCTGGGGGGGAAAGGAAGCAGAAAGACATTCAAAGTGATGGTGTTTGCCTTCCCATGTAACCATTACACATGATAGTGTGCAGCTTTCCTGGAGATGGCTGAACACCTGCCTGCTGACAGGAAGTAGAGATTTAATTCCTTAGTTTGCTTTCCTTGCACATGCAGTTTTTGCTTTACCTATTAAAATGCTTTTATCTGCACCCTTGAGTTTTCTCACTTTTCCCCTTCTGACTCTCTCAGAATCACAAAGGGGTAATGTGCTGTGTGGGGCTAACCTGCCTGCTGGGGTTAAACCACAACAACTGGCATTGCTATGAAATTTTAAACTTGATTATGTTTCTAGATCTCAGGGATGCCATTAAAACAAACTCAAACCCCAAGACTCCAGACTGTTAGAGATACTTGCCTCACCTATTTCCAATACACATTTTTTTCATATGAATATCTGTAGAACAAGATTTTTACGTGAGCATTCCTTCAGAAAACTGCTGCAAATCCATTTACCATTTACTTTGATAATTTCTAAGGGCTCTATTTAAAAAAAAAAAAAAAAAATCATAATGGACACAAGCAGCTCGTTTTCACTTGCTCGGTCCTTCACAGTTTAACCCCTCCTTTCATTTCTCAGTCAGTTGTGGAATGTTAAAAGCTGATTCTTCCCTCCAGTTGGTCTACAGCTCAAACTTCTACCAAATATTAGTTTGTCAGATAAGAACTACCATGCTTTTTCTCATCCTTAGCCTATGCAAAAGAGCATCGCCCTGTAAACACCTATACAAATCTTCTCAGTTTTTTCTCCAAATCTCTACAAAAACCCTGCAACAATTCCTACTGACACAAATGGAACAGTTTTTGCTTATCATGATGACCAATAAAGCCTCATTCTTTTCCTTCAATAATCTGCTATATTTATGGATTTCTTTTCTCATCTTATATGAAATCATAGAAAATCTTAATTTGGAAGGGACTCATAAGGATCAGCAGGACTACCTAAAATTAAGTCATATGACTAAAAGCATCATCCAGACACACCATGAGCTCTGACAGTGTTGATGCCATGAGCACTTCCCTCCAGAGCCTGTTCCAGTGATGGACCATTCTCTCTGTGAAGAACCTTCTCCTAATGTCTGGTTTGATCCAAGATTTTTTTTTTTCCCCATTTGGTTTGTTTGTTGTTTGGTTTCTTCTTAGTTTGCCATCAAAGTTAGCATAAGAACTTCTTCCTAACCTGCCTCCATTCTGTCTTGGAATTCACAACTCATTGATGCCTCCTGTTGTGTCAAATTAACTATTTGTGGCTGCACGGTGACACATGACAAACCCAATAAATGTAAAAATTGCACTTCTGAATTCTTTTGGTCTCAACAAATATTACAAAAACATATCACAGAAGTAGCTCTTTGGTGGTGAGACTCACTTTCATCTCCATATGGCAAAACTTGTCATTAGAATTTCTAGCCATCAATACATAACACACTGCTAAAAAAGCAGTACAACATCAGAAGTTTTCAAAATAATATATACTTTTCATCACAGTAAAAAACGGAAATTAAAGATTAAGTTTTTTGAGTTTAATCACACTACCTTCTTCCAGGATGGGTCTCAGCACAACAAAGGGGATTTCCTGCAATGGTTCCATGTGTTTGTGTCCAGCACTCATAATCTTTACCTGGGGCAAGCAGACGACAAGTGTGGCAGGCATACTGGCCTGCCCATGGTACCAGCTTCGCACAGTCCCAGGAATGTCCCCTGACACAATAGTACTTGGGGAAGGCAGGCTATCATTGGGCAGGAATACACAACAGGACTGCACTTCAAGCTGAAAAAACAAAACCAAGAAAGATTTATCAGAAACAGATTACCATTTTTTCCCCTCTATGTGGAGTATTCATCGTGGTACAAAATCTCAAGTTACTCATTCATCACAATTGATTGAAAATGGTCTTAGCTTTTAGCTGAATTAAGAAAAAATGTTGGAAAATATATTCTTGTAAATTACGAATACAGGAGGGAAGAAGAAGTGTGACTTCGGTCTGTAAATTTGATCAGAAAGGTGTTGCCAAACATACACCTATGTACATTTCAACAACTTTTCATAAGAAGTGTCACTGAGTCAGAAAATGTTCTCACAATCAAGCTGGGAAAGCCCTCTTCCTTTTGCAGTTCATTAGCTTTTGTTAGCAATAGCCAAGCCTCCAGAACTAACCAAAATTTTATATGCTGTTACTTTCTTTGAAGACTTCTATAAAGACCTATTTCAGGGAAAATTCTGTCTTCACTTTCTAGTCCACAGTAATGAGCACGCACAAAAAGGTTAATCATCAAATAAACCATGAAAAATACAAACTTTACTGAAAAACTGGCATTAGAGCAAATGGACAGGTGCTCACCTACACACAGAGAACAAGACACAAATAAAGTTAATGAAGTTTATACAGCTTTTGTCCTGTTTCATTGCAAATCAGAGGTAATGTAAGTGGTTTTACATTAAATAGCACTCTTTTCTTCCTTCATTTTCAAGCAATGCTGTTATCCTGAAACATTTCTGACCCACTCTGCCATCTACTTATGAGATTCTGAGAAAGCTCAAACCAAGAACTGAACTCATCACAACCTGTTAACTCAGAGGTGGCGTAAGCTGCAGACTGTAAGTCTATCTTGGCTCTTACAAGTACTCTTTTGCACCTGGATATCAAATAGCCCCAACAGCCTGCACACTTGAATGCTTTGTTAAGCGACCGCAAGCTATGATTCACTTCATTTTCCTTACATTGTTTGGAAAAGTCTAGTGTACAAAATGTTAGACACAAGATGCTATTTGTAGCTGTGATACAAGAATGTTTGTTTGCTTAAACTTATATAACGGAGTATTTTTATTTGACATCATTAAAGACATCACATCTTAGACCTGATAACCAATGTGTGTATTCCAAACCCTCCCCATGAAGGCTAATAATCCCTGGAGACTATAGTAGTGATTTGCAATAGAGGTGGAATTCCCCAGAACCATAAGTATTTTGCCAGCCTGGTGAGGAGAACACAGATATTCATCCTTATTTCAGCATTTTTGTGCCCTTTTGCTTAGACAAACTGACAAGAATTCACTACAAAAAAAATTAAGTAGAATTTTGCAAAAATAAACACATTGTTACATGAAGTCTGTGTTTGTTTCTGGATTTAGAACTGTTTGAGTTGTGAAATGAAGTTAATTACATCTTTGATAAGTAGTTTATTGATCCAAGGTTGCAGAGTGTATTTTTACAGGATGAAAAGCAACAGCGTATTGTTACAGATGTAATAGATTTTATTTTTTTTTTAAACTGGTAAATTAGTCATTGTGTCAATTTGCAAAGATTCTTACAGTAACATATTAGATCGTTTTCTGGTCTATTAGTAATAGGTTGCAGGTCAGGCCATTGTGGGATAATGATAAATAGATGACAAAAGAATTTATAATCAGTATGACTTTTGTTTCATCAGTGCATTTGCAGAGTAAACAGTTCACAACAAATCATCCAGTGCCTCACATATATATATAAAGACATAGGTATATATCCATGATGATTAACATCAAATACTGCCTGGATATACAAACCATGTGGTAACAATAATACAAAAATTTCACCAACTTGCAGAGATACTACACTTCATCACTTTACCAGCAGTAGGACCTACAGGAGATGTTTTTAAAAGTATTACAGAGAAGAGATCTTGACACTCAGAGTCTTTGCACTTAATTTTCAGTACACCTTTATATGGAAGACAAGCTCATCTGACCATTTTTTTTTTTCTTTTACCTTGCCATATCAAGAATATTGGAATGGATTCACACAGCTTCACTCTTTCAAATGCTACTTTGCCATTCACTTTCAAACAATTGAATGGGAGTTGGACCATAAATTTTGTTGGGGTTTATATGATCGCATCAGGCCCTCATCCATAATATTACAGACTTGCCTACAGATATGCTTTGCTTACTTGTGTTTTAAGTTTATAGATGAATTTTGCAAAACATTATTGCAGGATTTCAAAGGACAACACAATCAACATGTGGCAACATACCACATTTTAGGGAAAATCATGCATTTATAATAATTACATAAGAAATTGACAAGTTGGCCACACAAGGGCCCAGTAAGTGCAAAATTCAACTGCACCTGTTGAAGGACTCAGAGACAGATTCTGCTTACACACAATTATCAGCTTCAATTTAATTTGTGTACATTTATCTGACAGAATCTGTAGATCTGTCTAATAACAAGTTCTAGTGAAGGAATGGAAGAGTGCATTAAAATTATGGAATTACATTTTGGACAAAAGTGAGAATGTGCACTGCATATTGCTTCACTGATCAGAAAGTCCTTTAAAATATATATAATCCAAATTCTTAAACTACATTAATAGCATATATTAAAGCTATCATATAAATCTTTTTACACTTTTTAAATAACTGTTAAACCCTGTCTAAAATTGTGAATTTAATGTAAAATGTGACTGATTTATGTAACCGAATACAAATCTGCAGCAGTAAATCTTGCATTAATGTAAGGATCTGACAATCCAAGGGAAAGAAAATGAAGTAATCTGCCAGTAAGAAGTCCTCAAGCTGGGGGTCAGATCCTGTTCATGGAAACCATCTGGTTGGGACCCTCCAAGCCACACCAAACACAAATGATCTTTTAAAAAAATATCCTATTCATTAATGCTTCACAGCTGCACTGAGTGTTACTTCATTTTTCCATGGCAACATCCTTTCTGTTTCAAGGATCTTATTTCAGTTTTGGTAGCAACAAGTTCTTTTGCCAATACAGAACACATTCATCCGTTAAAGAGAAGGAATTATTACAAATTCTTGAAACAGAATCACCCCCTATTTTCATTTCTATTATGTCAAGGCCTATACATGCTAAGTAACATGCACTAATGATAAACCAATGAAGTAAGCAGTATTTTCCCTTCTACTTTTTAAAAGTTATGCAAAGCATATTGCCCTAAGCTTTTACTAATATATAAGCCTGAAATAGTGCAATGACTTTAAGACTCTGTTGTATAAAAAGGAAAGTATTAAGTTACTGGAATAAATGGAGTATTTTTAATAAATACTTTTCATAAATATTTTATAATACTAGAATGTTCCTTGACAGAGAGAACAGTGAAATATGTACTGCGAAATAATTAGGGCTTCCTCA